AAGCCTGGGAGGGCCTCGGTGGCAGCGGCCCACAGAGGCTGGCCTGGTTCCCGTGCAGGGGACAGGCCTCAGCTGTCAGAGCAAGAGATTCTCAAGGCCACAGCTCTCCCTTCCCACCTAAGTCCTGCTGTGGGCCTCAGGGCGGGTGGTGACCAGGCTGCTCCTGTGTCACACAGGAACACAGGGTTCAGCAAGCTCATGGGGTGTCTCTAAGTGTGTCACACGCCTATGTGAGACTCCACACACAAGCCAGAGCCCGAGGCCAGGCCCCTGAGCTGGCCAAGGGTGCAGAGGTCTGAGCTGTGTACAGGGCCTGATGGCCCGCTGGGTGTGTGGTGTGTGACTTCAGCTTGGGGATTGGGTCTCACTGCCTCGTGTCACTGCCTGCTGCAGCACCCGCCACCTGAGGACCACGGGTGGGATGCCACTATCACCAGCAGTGGAATGTGTTCACCTGTGCGAGCCCACATGTCTGAGGACAGAGGGGCCTCTGTCACTGCGACAAGCCGTGGCTTCTACCTCCCCATGCTGTGCCAGGATTCGTGTGTCCTGGGTGTCTGTGTACGGCTGTGACCATCAGGTACCCGTGACTCTGTGGTCGACAGCACGTGTGTTATACAAGGCGTGGCTTCAAGCCTGATTCGAGTGAAGTGTCTGTGTGTCTGCAGCCGTGTGTCCACGCAAAGGGTCTTCCTAAACCTGTGATGAAAAAACTACATGTGGATTTCAAGATGTTCTTGTGTGTGCAGAGATAAGCCCGTACTTAATTCCATTCTCCCAGGAGCTTTTTGAAGTCCGCTCATACGTGTATGCTCTCCAGTGCCCGTGGGAGGCTGTCGTTTTGGCCACTGTAAATGTGGGTGCTGTTTTCTGTCCGGGTGTCTGCAGTTCCTGCTGTTTTGTGCCTGGGAGTGGCCGTAGCATCTGTCATTGTGTTTGCGGTGATAGTTCTTTTCTTTAAGAGACAATGGATGGTCCAGTGAGTCAATGTGTGTGGAGGGAAGTTACAGGGCCTGCTGGGTCTGTGGAGACAGCTTGCGCAGTGCGCACCTGAACAGCTGGACCTCGATTGGCTTTGTGTCCCCGAGCAGTGTGGTGGTGTGTGTCCCCCTTTGGCTGTGGCCCCTGCTATTGTGCTTGTGTGGGGCTGAGGCTGCATCCAGCCATCCCAGCTTGTGTCCTTGTGAGTCTGTGTGGAGGGAAGTTACAGGGCCTGCTGGGTCTGTGGAGACAGCTTGCGCAGTGCGCACCTGAACAGCTGGACCTCGATTGGCTTTGTGTCCCCGAGCAGTGTGGTGGTGTGTGTCCCCCTTTGGCTGTGGCCCCTGCTATTGTGCTTGTGTGGGGCTGAGGCTGCATCCAGCCATCCCAGCTTGTGTCCTTGTGAGTCTGTGTGTGGCTGCTGGGGGCTGCAGCCAGCGATCCCAGCTTGTGTCCTTGTGAGTCTGTGTGTGGCTGCTGCTCCTGTCGCCGGGTCTGGGCTACAGCTTCCGTCAGGGCGCACAGCTGTGTATGGCGTTGCTTCCTCTGCTGTGCCACTTGGGGTGGTGGTATCTCCTGTCACCACGTCTATGTTTGGCTTTAAAACATCCCCTTCCCCCAACCCTTTCTCCAGATATGGCTGTTCTGGCTGCTCCACTTTGCCTCCTCACTGCCCATCTGCTAACGCCCTGGGCCTTCCCAGGTGTTTGGACCCCTCTCTGGGGACGCAGTGTCTTCCTCTGTCCACAAGCAGAAGACAGGCCAGTGCGTGCTGGCCCCGGGTGTGCGTCCTCTTGTGAAGAGGCTGCGCGTGCACCAGCGAGCGTGCCCCTAGAGACCCCCCAAGGCCGTAGAGCCTCGCCCCCGGGGACGTCTAGGCCGGACCACCCCCACGTCCCGCATTCTCCCCGCGCTCCTCACCCTGCCGCGGTACAGCTCCTCCAAGCGCCCGTCGATCCACTTCTC